GTAAAAATTTAATACAAATGTATTATTAATATATATATATATATATATATATATATATATATATCAGTTTATATTTGTTAATTTTATATTTGTAATAACTTTTTACATTGAAATAATTATTCATAATAATATTTTTCAATTTTGCTTTTGAATAATTGTTTTATTAAATTTAAATAATTGTTTATAATAAAAAGAATCATTTACATACTAAACCGTTATTATTTATAAAAATAAAAATTAAAAATTATCTTATAATTTAGTAAAATATTTGGTGTAAAATAAAAGTAGATAGACACCTAGAAAAAGTACTAGAGAATTCTTTTATGATAAAGCAAATTTCTGGTATGCGTGTTGTCTACTCACAACTAGATCCTGACTTCTTTACACGGGACACTCGTTTTTGATCTCTCTATTATATAAATCTATTTTCTTTCAAAAGCAAATACCTCACCGAGTCTCCCATATAGAGAAACCGATCAAAGTTTCACTTCAGTCTAGGGTTTCGGTTTTTGATCCTATTTTTCAGGTATATAAACCTTCAATTCAAGATCAGGTAATATCTCATTATCCTTTTTAAGATTTGGTTTCTCTTCCTAACTAATTTTGGGGTTGGGATTTTTGCTTTATCATCCTTCTTTTAAGTTTGTTAAATATTTACTCCCTATTTTTGTTTTTCCTAAATCTTTCGTCTTTTGTGGGTGGATTTGATTCTGATACAGTCTTGATTGGATCTTTCATTTAGAAATTTGTGTTTCTTATCAGTGAAAAGGATATTTTTTTTTAATTTAATTTGTTTGCGGTTGATTTGGGTGTAAAATGATATTTGAGGCATGGTATTTTTATGCTGTGATGGTTCTTGACTGTGTGGTTCTTGTCACTATCGATTTCAATGCAAAATCTGAAATCTAGGAAGGGATTTTGCTATGTGGTATTTAGATCTTTTGAATTTTTCTGTAGTTAGTGTTTTAAATTGTGGTGTAGGTTAAACTAGTTTTTTTTTCCAAGCGCTTTCATTTTAAATCATTGAGTGTAATTATTTTGGAGCTTTATTTCGATACAGAGGTCTGAAATTTTTTAATACATGGATGGTCACTGATGAAATTTTCTCTAGTTTGTTGTGTTGAAGATTCTTTTGGTGTGATGGAGATTATTAATGAGAGGGATTTTGCTTTTTGTGCTTTTTTGAAGTGTGCTTCTATTCTAAATCAATTTAGCTAACATGTTTATTGCAATGTCAGGTCTGAGCAATCTGTTTGGTGGAACCTTTGGTCATAGAGAGTCAAATTTTATGTCTGAATTAGACGCTCAAATTCCCACTGCCTTCGGTATGTTGTGAGTTCTTGCAGATGTTTTAGTATGTGGATGAATTGTCTTCTCCGTGATGTTTCTTAAGGGAATAATTATCAGTTCATTATACATGTGTTATTATCATTATATATGTACTTGCAGAAACAGGACAGCTCTAGTTGTTTATAGGCTCTAACTTTTATGTTTTACCTTTATTTCACCATAGTAGTTTTATACGTGGTCGTCTTTAGATTTCTTTTTAAGATTTTAGTACTGTCTGACTAAATATGTATCTGCTCTTCCATTTAATTCTAAGTTATATTCCATCTGATCTATACAGTTCAGGGAAATTTTAATTGCTTACTGGATGAAGTTCATTTGTACTCCTGAGTGTGGAATTTGGTATTTCCCTTCAGTTTTATCAGGGACATGTAATTTTGATTATAAATTTGACCATGTTCAATGGTTGAACAGGACTGTCTGTTAATTCAGACATTTTATAGTTTTCTGGTTATTGGTTTATGGTGGATTTTATATTCAGCTTTTCAAATTTTGAGTTTTATCAGGAACATGTTATTTTCATCATGAACATGATCATGTTCCATGGTTGAACAAGACTGTTGTCCTGAAAATTCAGACGTCTTACGGTTTGCTGATTGTTGGTTTATAGTGAATTTTATACTAAGCTTTTAAAATTGAGTTTTATCAGGTACATGCTATTTTCATTATAAATTTGATTATGTTCCATGGTTTTCTGATTGTTGGTTTACAGTGAATTTTGTATTCATCTTTTCAAATTTTGAGTTTTATCAGGGACATGTTATTTTCAATATAAATTTGATCATGTTCTATGGTTGAAGACTGTTGCACTGTAAATTCAGACAATCTTATAGTTTTTGCTGGTGAATTTTATGTTTAGTTTTTTCAACATTGGTACGTCAGTTCCAAAGTTGTGTTATTACACATGCATGCTCTCACTGTTGTCACTATTGTATATTCCGAGTGCGTAGATACTGTGATTATGTCAATTAGGGTTAGTGGTTAAATCTAATAAATGATCTGCCCTCGATTTATAGATCCTTTTGCTGAGGCAAATGCTGATGACTCGGGTGCTGGGTCAAAGGAGTATGTGCATATTCGCGTACAGCAGCGAAATGGTAGAAAAAGCCTGACAACTGTTCAGGGATTGAAAAAAGAATTCAGCTATAACAAGATACTTAAAGACGTTAAGAAAGAGTTCTGTTGCAATGGCACCGTTGTTCAGGACCCAGAACTAGGACAGGTCTGTGTGGCATCTTCCTGTCAAATAATGATCTATCCCTTGTTGCTTACGTGTTTGTGTTTGTAGGTTATTCAACTTCAAGGTGATCAGCGGAAGAATGTTTCGACCTTTCTAGTCCAGGTAACTATATCTTTATGTGTTATGCAATGTGTTACTATAATTGAATTCTTTTTTGATTTTCATCTCTTGTCTCTTATTCGTTTGCTTTATTTCATAGTTGTTTCAAGGCTTATGGCCTATTGGAATGACCCATTCTAGAGAATTGTGCATTTTTCTTCCATTTTATTGGTTTAGGGAATGATCTAATAATAGTATACCCAACTGAATGTCCTTTTGAAGAATATTCTTTTTGTCATTTTAATCTTTTGCCAAGTAGTTTGCCATTTACATATTAGAGACCGTATATAATACCTTTTTGAAATTATATGGTTAATGCGAACCTAGTTGTCATATTCTCTTCTAAAGAGTAGTAAATTTATTTAACTCAACCTATTAGATGTGTAAGAAAAAGAAAGCAAAAGAAAAAAGAAACAAACATAAAGAAAGCAACTACATAAATCACGGTTTTGTTTGTAGCTTAATGAACTGTATTTAGCACAAATCATAGTTGGTTCTTAGCACAATAATTTTGTAGCATGTTCAATGAAATATTTGGACACCAGGATTCTTCATCTAACTATCCTTCTGGTTGTTTTAACCTGTGAATATAAACAGGCTGGTATTGTGAAGAAGGAGCATATCAAGATTCATGGTTTCTGAGTGGTTGGTGTCTTAAGTGTCAAGTCTTACCTGCCTAGTGTGTTGGGCATAGATAACCTGAGTTGTGTATGTGATTGTGGATTTCTGTGTTTCGATGTACTACACCATGTGATGTGGGATTATGGATTCTAGAACATTGTGAGTTATTTGCTTTCAATACATATGAAAAAACAGTTTAATGGTCTTGTATTTGATCTTATTACATCATTTAGTGTTTTTTCCGGGTTTTTTTTTTACAAACTTGGTGTACTTTTGGGGAGAAATTGCCCAAATGGACAAGTTTTAAAAATATTATAGTTAGGGGAACTCGTGTATAAGAAGGAAGTCTCCACATGATGAATAGGAAGGAGTCGTGTGGGGCAGTAACGACTTTGGATTTGGTTTAATTTCTTTTAAAACGAACAGATTTTTTATATAAAATTTTTTGAATAAGAAGGAAGATGTAATTGATTTATGTGAATTAATTTTGTGTAATGGTTTGGGACGAATATAAATTATTGTTAATTTGAAAAGAATAATATTAAACAGAAGATGGTAAGTAAAAAAATAGAAAACATGAAATTAAATTGGTGGAAATTTTTTTTATTATATATTACAATAAGTACATCATTTATTTATTTGTAGGAACCAGTGTAACATGGTTGTCTTCTGTGTCTTTTTAATTGTCTTTGCACCTCCTGTTCGGGAGGTAGAGTATCTTCATCGCCGTGTCCAAATTAAATTTAGTAAACTGAATTGTAGGGGTCGGCAAATACTGCACTACTAAAATTTGTTTTATATAGGTTTAATTGCTTCCTTTGTCCCCAGTTTGGTTGAATTGTGTCAAATTCATCCTCATTTTTAAAAAAATTTCATTGTCATCCTCACGTGGTGTAAAAGTTTCATTGTCGTCCTCACGTGGTGTAAAAGTGTCAATTGAATCCAAACATAGAAAAAATTTGTGTCAAAGTAGTCATTTTTCCTATATAT